CCTCCCCCCCCCCCCCTCTCTCTCTCTCTCTCTCTCTCTCTCTCTCTCTCTCTCTCTCTCTCTCTCTCTCTCTCTCTCTCTCTCTCTCTCTCTCCCCTCTCTCCTAATTCCCCCTATATCTTTCCTGCTGCTTCTCCTCCTACAGCAAAGCCTCTGGACAAATATGAATGGTGTCTTTCGGGGTCACACAGCACTTCTTGAGAAAACAGTAAGAAACAGAGCCAAACTGATGTCACAGTTTCTCTCAGGATAGGAAGGTTGCGCTGACTGGCCAGTGAGTAAAGTTAGCACGTAGCTCTGAGTGGTCAGGGATCCCAGATGGAAAGTGACATTGAAATTCAGGACGTAACAGCTGGCTGAACCTTGAGGTTGGGGAGTATGTACAGAAAACCCATTGCTGTGAAAATTATGTCTACTACAGTTGCTTCTGACCTTGAATCAGCAATAAACACCTAGGAAATTGACTTCTATATTTATTTGTCTCCAGGGGCAACCAGTTCGCTTTGAATTTGTTCTGAAGTCTAAAACTAGCTGTGTTTGTGATTAAGAATGCTATTGGGTTCCTATGCTAGTCTGAGTAATGAAAAATGTCTAGTGTTCTTCCTATTCATTGTAATTGTACAGATTAAGCAGAAATCATCTTCCTGACCATCCACAGCTAAATGTGTGCCCAGGAGGTGGAATATTTTCACAAGATAAACAGACAAGCAGTGGGGAGAATATCCATAGCCATTATTAGTGGCACATGAGAAAAATTACAGTTTTCTACAGCCAGTGGTCCCATGGCTTTGCCAAGTGGGGCTCCCCATCAGAGTCACTCATCTGGTAAGTTGTCCTGTCCAATACTAGTTGTTACCTGCTGTTTACTCCCACGGCCTCTGGCAGCATACCCTAGGATACAATGAGATATGCCTTTCAATGCTTATTTGTTGAACTGTCTTTGGACTTGCACCAACTTTGAAAGAAATGAACCTGGCAAGGTTTACAGAATTTTGCATCTTGCCCATTGTTTACATTTTACTTTTTTTTTTTTTTTTTTTTTTTTTTTTTTTTTTTGAGACAGGGTTTCTCTGTGTAGTCCTGGCTGTCCTGAAACTCACCTCAAACTCACAGAGATCCACCCAGCCTCTGCCCCCTGAGTACTGGGATTAAAGGCGTGCATCGCCACCACCTCCGGGCTATTTTACCTATTCTTGTGTGCATACTTGGCTTGTGGGTGTGTGGAGCTGGAGGACAGCTTGCTGCAATGGGTTCTCTGCCACCTTTATGTGTGTTACGGAGATCAAACTCAGGTGGTGAGGCTTGTGTAGTAAGTACTTTCACCAGCTAAACTGTCTCACCAATCCTTGGTTTTTGTTTTTAGTATTTTTCAGGGCTGGAGAGTCGGCCCAGTGGTTAAGAGTACTGGATGCTCTTCCAGAGGACCTGGGTTCAATTCCCAGCACCCACACAGCAGCTCACAACTTTCTGTAACTCCAGTTCTATGGGATCCTCCTCCTCTGGCCTCTGTGGGCACAGATACACATGCTGGCAAAGCATACAAAACAAGGATTATTTATATTTATGTGTAAGACTGTGTGAGTTATGTGTACCGTATGAATACAAACACCCTCAGAAAGCAGGTCTAAGAGCCTCTGGAATTGGGATTGCAGGCAGGGTTGGGCAGCTTGATGTAGGCACTAAGAACCCAATCTGGGTCCTTTGCAAGAGCAGCAAGGACTCTTAATTGCTGTTTGTTTAGCCTTTGGCTTTGTTTCTCAAGACAGGGCCTCACTACATTGCTGAGGCTCTTGCTGAACTCCCCTCTTCCTTGAAGTCTGCTTCCTGAGTGTAGGATTTACAGTGTGTACCACTCCACCTGGCACCCACTGAGGTCTGAGCATTCTGCACCTGCTAGCACTTAGTACAGGATGGTGCCCCCAGGAAAAGCGAACCCCAAGGAGCTCCTCAAGGGAGCTCTCAGGAGCTCAGGGTACTCAGACCAAGAGGGGCATGGCCAGGGTGCAGAGACTGCTGAGAAGGGACAGCAGCAGGTGTGGGATGACCAGGCTGGAGGAGAGAAGGAGCCCCGACACTCATGTACTGAAGCTAGGGTCCCTCAAGTTCCTTGCATTTCTCGTCAGGTTTTACCAGGAGGAAGTGGAGCTGGGTAAGCATGACTTTGTGGCAATCAGTATGGCCAAGGACAGAGTAGGCTTAGGGGTGAGACGAAAGGGATGGGGGAATCAATGACTAACTGTAGACTGAGGTATGCTTGGATAGCCTGTAGGACTCCCTACTACCCTGTCACATCTGTACTATTTGTGTGTAGGAGCTCAGTATCTTTAAGCACATTCTTGGTGTGTCACCACACCTAAGACCCATGTCCACAGCCTTCCATCGTCCTTACCGCCCCCTGCCCTCTACACCCTGGCTGTTAGCCACGGCCCCTGCCCCAGCTGATAACCATGGTCCTGCCAATGAATTTCATGACTCTACTTCACAGAGTGGAGTTATATACTTAGCTTTCTTTAATTATCTCATTTCACTTAGGGTGATGTCATCAAGGTTTTTACATATGCACAATGGCATATGGCGGGCTGACTTTTCTTTAAAAATCTGTATTTTTTGGGGGTGGGTATGAGACAAGGTCTTGCTGTGTGGCTCTGGTTGGTGAGGAACTCACTAGGTAGACCAGGGTGGCTGTGATCTTGTGGTGATCATACGCCGAGTAGTATCTGCTCTTTCTCAAAGTCACGTGTGCTTACCCACTGTCCCTGACTTTTGACAACTGTGAACACTGAGGGCACCGCTGCGTGGACACCTCTGGAAAGCTGTCTGATCCCTGATCTGCCTCCTGAGCGAGCACACAGACTTAGAAACTGAGTTGCTGGATTCTCTGGGAGATCCATGCCTGAACCTATCCTGAAGCAACCAGGGTGTTTTCCATAGCAGAACACATCACGTTTTCCCCACCTACACTCAAAAGATTAAGATTTGGAGCTGAAAAAAAAAAAAAAAAGATACTGGTTTACATAATCTACAACTGCATAAATACATACGGCATTCGGCTGTCATTCATAAATACAAAATTTTATTTGCACTTCATTAGTGTAGAAAGACCACGATGCTTCTCACACCACAATACTCAGGGCACACCAAGTTATTCAAATACATACTTATTTACCTTGACTAAACAAAACAGTGCAGTTTAATAAAAGATATACCAAAGATAGAGTTCACAAATTCCTTATCAGACCAAAAAAAAAAAAAAACCAAAAAAAACAAACAAACAAAAAACCAAAAACAAAAACAAGAAAACTTGAACACAGTCTAGGCTTCATAGGAATAAGCTTCACCATCAATGGGAGAAGTCCATCATTACAAAGATACAGGATGTCTAGGCAAATGCATATGTGTTTTTTGATACAGTAAAATGTAACTCTTAAAATCCCTTCAAACAGGATTTGTGTAGGATAGCAGTGTGGTTTTAAAATCTCTTATATAGTTTCAAAAATTTGTCTTCTTTAATTTCATTTCCTTCCCCTCCCCCACCCCTTGTGATGCTGGGGATTGAAGCTCAACACTGGATTACAATCCCTGCCCAACAGTCCTTTCTCAATTGAATCTTTGTCGTTCTTAAAAACATCCATCATGGCCACTGGACATCCCCAGATTCTGCAGCCACAGGACCCAGTCGAATCCAGCCCTCTACCTCAGAGAAGTCTCTCACTACAGGACCCGAGAGCCAACTCCGTGTTGGCTGTGGAGAGAGGAGCTTTGCTTTGGGGCAGAGACACTCCAAACCTCAAGATGCTACAGCTGGGAAAGCCTCGTAAATAAAGAAGAAGCCGTTGTCATGTCTTCTTTTTCAAAAAAGTCTTCAGTTTTGTAGATTTTTCTCTGAAACGGAACTCGAAGCACCGGGCCCTCTTTTCCCATCGGAGCGTCTGCCTCGTAGTGTAGACATTTAAAGTACTCAGGAGACAGCACACCCTTCTTCTCTCCCATTCTTCACACCAGAAGAACCACGCCTCCCAGTGTAGGCACATTACACACTGGAACAACGAGGAAATACAGTCCGAGGGGAAGCATGTGATTTATAACCCACCTTACCCAGGATTGCATATTTGCATATTTACAAGTTAGTGTATAGCTGACTTGGGTTACAAAGTGCAGAAGGAAATTGTCACATGATTGCAGTGCACACAGAATGGTCCCCGCCCCCGTCGGGGACTGTATGCACTCTGTCTCCAAAGCAGCCAGTCAACAGCATCGGACATGTGGTCTAGGAGGAGGCAGCTCTGGTGGGATCTCAGGCTCTGGTTGTAGAGAGAGTATGCTATTGGATAACTCGCTTCTCAAAATATCAAGAGGCATCTAAAGACAAGGAGACAACACGAGGACCTTAGTCTTGCGAGCGAGAGGTCATGTTGTAAATTGTGCAGCTTTTGTTTTATGTGCATGGGAGTTTTTCCTGCATGTATGTCTGTGCCGCATGCCTGTTACCTGATGAAGACACAAGGAGGATGTTGGGTTCCTTGGAACTGGAATTACAAGTGGTTGTGAGATGCTAAGTGGGTGCTGGGAATCGAACCTGGGTCCTCTGGAAGAGCAGCCAATGTCCTTAACCACTGAGCATCCCTCGGACCCTGAAGTATTGCTTTCTAATGCCTTTGGAAGAGGCTGGGAAGCAGCTTGCTGACAAGTGTTTGCCTAGCACGTGTGAGGAGACCCCAGGTTTGATCCCTAGCATTGCGATAAAAACCACACGTTCTCTGCACAGAATGTACTATAATGAAAATTCTACATATTAATCAACAGGAAACTGGCCCACTGTCTGAAGGAAGTGCTTCTGGATCATCTGTGACAGTCTAGGAGCTGGTCCTCCTGGGGCCTCGGTGACATAATCAGTTAGTGCTTAACAGTTAGCCCTCTCTGCCAGGAAGGTTCCACGCTGACAGATTCACTGCAACTCTGAAGGGACTATCTGGGAGGAGCTAACGGCCTCTGTAACATGCGCAGCTGTCCTTAAACAACACACGCTGCAGCTGTTTACACAGCACTGAGAGCTGTCTGGTGATGGCTGCAGGGCTCCTAGAGTCACCCCTCTGGGGGACACCACCTAGTGGCTGACAGATGTTGAAGGGCAGCCCAGCATCCTCTGTGAAGGTGACCTCCCTGTCCAGAGAGAGGGGCCTGAGGAAGACCAGGAGCTGTGGCCCTTCTCCAAGGAAGGCTGCACACCACAGGGGGGCTCCATGTTAAACTTAATTCTTTGGGAAAGAAGAAAAAAGGAAAGGAAGAGAGGCGTGAGCATGGAGTGTCTACCTGGAGTTCTGGAGGCTGACCCAGGGCCTCTGCCTGCTAAGCAAATGCTGGGCCACAGGGCTACACTCAGCCCCGCTCTAGCTCTATGCTGCCGGGCAGGGGCCCAGGGCCTCAAGTGTGCTGTGCAAAGGTTCTACTAATGAGCCACGCCCCCGTTTCTCATGGCCACTAGACCTTATGGAAGTCACTCCAGAACGTTGGACCTCAAAGAATGCAAACAGATGGTCTACGGACCCTAAGGACTCCAAGCGACAGCCACCACGGAGGCGAGCTGAGCAGGCACACTTATTTATTTTTACCTTTTTCAGAATGTCGTCGACGAGTTTCAGAAATATCTCGTCCACATTGAAATTGTCCTTGGCACTGGCTTCACAGAACCGCATCCCAGTTATCTGCTGTGCAAACTGAGAAGACACGTGCCCGTGTTAACCACGAGGTGCAACCCAGAACCGTGCGTGCGTGCGTGCGTGCGTGCGTGCGTGCGTCAGGCTGGGCCTCTGACAGGAACACAGACTCCGTGCTTTACTGCTAAGGGTGGGGGAGCTCAGGGTCTGTTAAGTCCCATTTATGATCAAATATCAGGTTCATGTGTACAGCAAATCCCTGTAAGCAAATAGCAATATATAATAACCTTTACATCCTGTTACGTGTGTAAGAGTCTGAATGTACAGTGTATCTGACATTTAAAATATGAGTACCCATGCTTCTCCATGATTGGACCCTTAGCAAAAGTCAAGGCAGGAGAAAAAATTACAAAAGCAAATCATGCCACCTAAAAACATTTTTTTTTTCTGTATAAAATGTCAGCTAACATTACACAGTATGTATGTACTAATGTGCTTTAGTCTCTGCTTCAAATGAATCCAAAGAGGAGACAGGAAGTGAACAATTTGGAGGGTGTGCGGGGCCATTAGTGTGTGCGGGGCCATTAGTGTGTGCGGGGCCATTAGTGTGGGGCACGCTCTGTATTTCCACAGCGTGTCAGGGAGCTGTGAGCGGAAACGCTGCAGAGCAAGGGTGCTGCCTGCGAGCGCCCGGCTTCCACGCACCTTCTCTCCTTGCTGCTTGGAGATTTCTCTGTCTGCTTCGCAGTCCAGCTTGTTTCCAACCAGGAGCAGCTCAGCATCTTCCGAAGCATACTGCAGGAGTTCCAGAGGCGTCACACACTGACAGACGGGTGCAAACTCACACAACTTACCACCAGTTACTTTCTGTTCACGCTACTCCACTGCCTCTGGGCAACTTGGGACACACGCACATATGCGCGCGCGCATACACACACACACACACACACACACACAGAGGACTCACAGTGTTTTGGAAGGTACCTTCTGAGAGGCATCAACAATTACCATGGTCTTGGCCTTGGCCCCAGCCATTCCTAAGACACTGTTAAGGAGATGTTTAAAAACAACAGGCAGGGCTGGAGAGATGGCTCAGCGTTAAGAGAACTGAATGCTCTTCCAGAGGACCCAGGTTCAATTCCCAGCACCCACATGGCAGCTCACAGCTGTCCGTAACTCTAGTTCTAGGGGATCTGATACCTTCACCCCAATGCACATAAAATAAGGGTTAAATAAATAATTATTAAAAAACAAAAAGCTGTGCACTCAAGAATCGTCATCAGCTGTGAAAGGCCAAAGTGCAACAAAATGGGTCAAGGAAGCAAGTCCTTCTGCTCTAACAACGCTGACACAGAAAGGCCCTCGCAGTACAGTACCTGGTGATAAAATGGAGTCAGTCCAAGATTTTAAACTTACTTGTATGCTATAATGAAGTTAGCAATAACTCTACAATCCAGAACAATTTAAAGCTATATCTGTAAGGTTTTAAAAAAAATATAGGTACGTTAGTATTTTGTGTACTTGTAAAAAACCATTTGAAGCAGACTGCACTGAAGGAACCTGGGGATCATGGCCAGAGGACTCTCGAGGCTGGGCGAAGGGATGGGAGACAGCTCCCTGTGTGTGTCTTGCTGACATGCAGGTGCCCAAGAAGCATCATGGGACAGCCTGGCCCCAAGTTGAGCATTCCAGAAATGACAGCTCTTAATGGCCTTGGTTGTGTGTACCTTTGATTCGAGCACTTGGGAGGCAGAAGCAGGATGATCTCTATGAGCTCAAGGCTACAGAGAGAGAGAGATAGAGAGAGAGAGGGAAGGGGGAGGGAGGGAGGGAGGAGAGAAGAGGAGGGCTAGCTCTTACACAAAGAACAATACTCAGAACACGGGACGAGCTAGGCCATCATCCTTGGTGGATTCACAAACCCACACACCTGACAGGCCCTTGCTCACTCACCACTTTAGACTACTGTGTAAGTACTGTCCTCAGGAGCAACTCCAAGGTTTCAGAGGGACTTCTCCACGGCCAACAAACATTAGGTTAGGCATCGCTAAAGGGTGTAGGCCTACAACTGTAAACATGGATCTTATAATGGGTTCTGAAAATCATTTTCAGGAATGTAAACCCCCAAAGACTAAGGCCAGTGGTGGAAGGTAGAACAGTTGGTAAAATGCTTGCTGTGTTAAGTGTGAGGACCTCAGTTTGAAGGCTACAGCCCATGTGTGTGGTTTGAATGACAATGACCCCCATAGGCTCTGCAGTTTGAATACTTGGTCCCCAGCTGGTGGCATTGTTTTGGAGAGCTTAGGAGATGTGGCCTTGTTGGAGGAGGTGTCATAGGGATGGGCTTTGAGAGCATTTCAAGTTCTCTTTACTCTATGCTTGGTGTTTGAGAAGTGAGCTCTCAGCTTGCTGCTCCAGCTGCTGTCCCTGCCTGCCGCCATGTTCCCCACTTTGATGAGGCAAAACAAACTCTTCCATCTGTAATTTGCCTCCGTCACAGTCTTTTATCACAGCAACAGAAGAATAACCAGTGGCTGGCTGCAGGTGACCGTTGCAACCCTGTGCAGGTGGTGCATGCCTTTAATCCCAGAACTCTGGAGGCAGAGGCAGACAGATCTCTGTGAGTTTGAGACCAACCTGGTCTACAAGAGCTAGTTCCAGGACAGGCGCCAAGGCCACAGAGAAACCCTGTCTCGAAAAACCAAAAACAACAACAACAACAACAACAACAAAAAACCTTGTGCAAGAAGAGGACTCCTGGCTCACCAGTGACTTAATAGGTAAGGTCAAGAATCAGAAAAACCTTGTTAAAAAGCCTGGCCCACCCAGAATCTGACTCTGATGGAAACATCCAGCAAACAAACAGCTGTCTCAGCCACATTCAACACCAACCAGCTCTTTGTATGTTTGATTTCTGATTCTGAGTCCCTCTCCACGTCTGGTTTTAGCTGGCTTTACAAATCTCTAATGCTGGAAGTCACACAGCTGAGCCACATACGATCAGTCTCTCACTAACATTTCAACGCCTCCAATGTGAAGAAAATAGGGGTTTTGATTTTCATTGTCCCGTGTATGTGCGTGCATGCTATGTGGCAGGTGTGTAGAGAGCAGATGACAACCCACAGCAGTCAGTTCTCTTTTAACACGTCGGGTCCCCTGATGAATTCAGGTCACCAGGTCTGGGCAGCACCCTTACCCACTGAGCTCTCCTACCAGCCAGCCCAGGGTGATGGTTACTAGGTTACTTTTTTAGGGACCTGAAGCTGGCTTCTCTCTCTCTCTCTCTCTCTCTCTCTCTCTCTCTCTCTCTCTCTCTCTTTTTCTAAACATCCACCCTGGCTCCTCCCCCCCTCTCTCACTTGACTCTCTCTCTCTCTCTCTCTCTCTCTCTCTCTCTCTCTCTCTCTCTCCCTCTCTCCTGACTCTTGACTTGTGCCTCTGATGCATGAACTTTTGATGTCACAACCCTTAGATGAGGGCGCCACAACGGCTAACACCGCCACTGCTTCGTATGAAGAGCCACACGGTAGATCACTGATCCCCTGCAATTATCTCCCCCTCATAAAGATCCCTAAACCTGCCCATGGCAGTGTATTGAGACTAAGGTCTTCTCTGTACACAGCCACTCTCTCTGGTGGCACCAGGGTGACTGCATACGCTGTGACCAATGCCAAGTACAGAGCGAGCGGAGGGTAGAGAGATCTGTCTGCCTCACTCTTTGCTGTTCTGGCTGGCCTGGAACTTGTCACGGAGACCAGGCTTGTCCCCAGTGCACAGAGATACACCTGAGTGCTGGAATTAAAGGTGTGCACCACCATGCCTGGTCCTCCTATTTCTTACACTGGTCCCTAACATACTATGAAGGAGCACACAGGGAAAACCTGCTTAGTAAAACCAGAAGTGAACCCTTCCTACTGTTTATACAGCATGCCAAGTACAGTCGTGTTTGAATACGATCAGGTGTTTGTAACATAAAGGAATTAAACATCTAATTACTGCATAAGGGGACAGAACCTCTCCCATTGTGGTCAACTGTATGTCACATTTTAATCCCAACTGGCCTGTCTTCTGAAGGTGCACTGCTGCACACATTTCCTAGAGGAAGACACAGTTCGCATTAACCATGGAGATACAGAATTTTCTATGACTCAATTGTAAGCTGAGAGAAATGGTCTCTTGTTCAAAAGGAGGAACTGAAGGACATCTACGATGCTGAGGACGACTGGGCCCCTGAAGCACCCACAGCACCATGGAGTACATACCCAGTGTCCACACGACCTCTTCTGCTCAGTCTAACTCTGAGAAAAGGGTTTTGACCACAGCGAACCTTGTTTTCACAGTTCCAGCAAGCTGGCTCTAGGTAATCTATTCCATCACCACCTCATCTCTAACGAAGCTGTGTATAAGAGGACCATCAATCCACTAAGGACGCTGTATCATTTTGTTCCCTTTGACACCCACAAACGGAGAGGGCGATACACACATACCTTATCAATCATCTTCATCCATTTTGGCAAGTCATCGAATGTCTCCTTCTTAGTGATGTCATAGACTAATATGATCCCCTTGGCACTTCTGTAATAGGCTGAGGTAATGCTGTTAAATCTCTCCTGCCCTGCCGTGTCCCTAGGAAACAGCAGTAGAAGTCAGTTTCCAAACCAATGAGGTAGCCAACTCCACATGCTGGTGCAAACACTCATTCTGCTCCTTCTCCACCCACCTTGGGGTTATGGGGATATTCTTCCCAGCCTTACAGGTGGGAGAGGAAGAGCTCAGGGTGTGTTATACTGTTAGGAGACACGTGGCTTATCTGTATACAGATTAACAACTAAATATCAGAAAAGGAGTCAGGTTACCCACTGAGGTCACGAGCTACCAGATCACCTTTCCCCAGAAAGCCACATCAGGAATATCAGGACAGCAACACAAGGGACCATTTGCTTCTTTAAGATAAAAGGGGACACAACACTCACAACAGCAGCCACAATTCCCACTGAAGACAACTCCCTGACCTGCTTCTGGTGCCTGAGTGAAAGCTTACGGCAGGAAAAAAACATCCCCAAATACTCAGCTTGACTTACTTCCTATTCCCCCAAACTACCACACACTACATGTGCACAGCCATGTGACTGAGCACAGGGAAAGCGAAGGGTTGATTCCACTCAACGTTATCTGCCGACTACCTTGTGTATACCAGTATGGAGCCACTCATCTAAAATTTTTCAGTATTTCTTTTGTTTGTATGGATGTTTTGCTGTGTACCATGGATATGCCCGGTGCATGTGGAGGGCAGAAGGCATCAGATCTTTCTTAGTGCCAGTGTGATGCTGAGGCCACACTTGAGAAATTCTACACCTGACCTCAAGGAATGCAGGCACACCCAAGATGTTGTGTAAGACTATCTGCATATAGGGTATGTAAGGTGAGACCCATGCTCAAGTTATTTCACGGTATCTATGCAAATGCTCCCAAATCAGAAACACCACTGGTCCCAAGTGCTCTAATGAACAGTATCCAATCTGTACTTTTACTAAAGAAAAAACAGAAGAGAATGGCGACCCCAGGTTTTTCTTTACTAGCAAAATGAGTACAAAAATTATTTTTATCGTTAAGCAATTTCTTTGGCTCATTTTTTATCTTTTAAATATTTCAGAAGAAAAAGTCTTTTGAGTAGGGTGTGATTAATCAAGTGGCTGGTGTACTGTAGAAGTAAGATTCCCCCTGAAAAGCCCTTCAGGGCGAAGGCTGTGGTGGACTGCTGGTCAGTTTAAGCAACTCCTGGACACTGGGGAGTCGTGGGGCCCATCTGTAAGTGTCCACAGAGAGCGACAGCTAAGGGTAAGGCCCACACTGAATGAAGTGACACCATGGCTTGGGCTGGGCTCTCAGACTGAGCAGTCTCCTGGGCTGCTGAGATGTGAGCCAACAGCTCCTGGCTCTTTCCACCATGAGGGGCTGAATCCCCTTAAACCATGAGCTGGGACAAGCCATCTTTCCCTTCCATTGGTCTGTTAAGTACTTTCACAAGGAGCAAGTAACCCACCACTGGAATATTCCATGCAGAAAGTGTACAATCAGCTGTTCTGTAAATCCAGCACACAGCACACTGTATCCCCGGTGACATGCCCTAGTGCCACACCACCACTGTTCCCTGGTGACACTGCCCGGTGCTGCGCCAACCGCTGCAGAACTTTACAAAGGGTCAGGAGGGCAGAGGGTACTCTCCTCATGGAGAACGCTTTTGCATCTAAGAGAAAAGCAGTCTGAGAGTCACATGTGGCTGAATACATACTGCGAACTCTCACGGAGCAGGCTTCCATAAGGAGAGCCAGGACTGATCAGAGGTGAAGCCACTGTGGCAGAGGCCACACACAACCAACAAGAGGACAAGAGGCACTTGCACATTCAGATGTAGCTGCACAAAAAAAGCCTTATTCTTAATTGTGTATATGCATAAGGGTGCCCCTGGGGGCCAGAGGGGGCCAGATCTTCTAGAGCTGGGTGTTACAGGTAGCTGTGAGTAAGCCATGCTGCGTGGGTGTTGGGAACCAAATGCAGGTCCTCGGCAAGAACAACCCCTGTTCTTAACTGTTGAGCCATCTCTCCAGCCCCAGGACATATGCTGCCTGTCACCCAGTCAACCCAGCCGTACACACATCCTAATATTAGCTACATTATCTTCTCAGGGAGAAGAACACAGCCACAGATGCTAGGTGCAGAGGCAGACATGTCCTGATCCCTTCAAAAGCTGTCCCGAGGCGCTTATAGTTAGAAATGGCAGCTCGTGTCAAAGATTAAAATTTTACGGATATGGATGTTTTTCCCGCATGTATGTATGTACTAAGTATGTGTCTGGGGCCTAAGGAGGTCAGAAGAGGTTGTCGGATCCCCTGGGACAGGACTCAGTTGTGAGATACCCTGCGGGTGCTGGGAATCAAAGCCGAAAGGCAGCCAGTGGTCTTAAGTGCTAAGCATTCTCTCTCTCCAGTCCATCTGTGAGAGATAATTTGTTGGACAGCAATGAACTAAACAAAGATTGTTACCTTTTTTGTGGACTAGTGTAAGGAAAACCCGTTTGTTTTTTTTTTTTTAAGCAAAACTGTTTAAAACAAACAAAACCTTAAATCCCCGAAGCCCTTATGTGGTTACACAGTTGCAGATGACCGAACGAAAGGGATTACCTCAGGACACCAGGAGAGCAAGGCTGGCTCGGTTGCAGCTGCGCCCCAGACAAGGACATGGATGAAGGATGGAGACATGCCACTAACATTCAAGCGTTAGATGACCGGTGAGACCACAGATGCGCAGCAGTTAAGGCGGATGAAAGCAAACACACACAGACGGTGGACAGACAGTCAGAGCTGAGGGCGACCTGCCAAGACGAGTTAGTAAGCTGAGTGTCCCATCAGTGTTACGAAAACCACAATGCATTCTCCAAACAGCTGAGCAGGGCTCCCACTCAAGCACCACAGGCCAGACTCGCCTTCCTTCTACAGAGGTAGCTGGCTACACGGGGAATTCTAGCAGCCACTCTGGGTTGTGAACAGGGAAGAGAAAGCCCCAAGCACAGTTACAACACAGCCGGCCTGGCCTCTTGTTCCAAGGCTGAGATGAGAAAGGTTCTAATCTCCTCGGATGGAGTTTCTGGGTCCCCTTCTGGTATGCAGAAGATGCCCCTGTCACACAGCACCCACAGGCCAGCAGGAAAGGGCATGCCTGCCACATGGTGTCCACACTGTATCAGCACAGGGTCCCTGAGCTGTGGTGTAGGTGATGGGTTTTTCCCTCGTGACAATATGTACTTCCCCCATTAAGTATGGTTACGAACACACTGACTGGGCTCTTTGGAATACCATTCGGTAATTTTAAAGACAGGAACACACGCCCCCCACCCCCAGGGCTGGGGATGGAAGCCAACCTTCTTGCGCATGCCAAGCAAAGAGTTCGAGAGGTGAGCTACACACCAGCCCAAGACATGCAATCAAGCACTCATTTTAATGATGGCAGTTTGGAGACATGTCCATGACAGGAAAACCCAGGCAGAGGGTCAAACAGGCTGTCAGGATGGTAGCACAAGCTTACGTGCAGATGAGGTGTGAAGTAAGGCGCCGTTCCCGGGAAGTGCTGTTAGTCTGATTTTAAGGCAAGAGGAGGTGGATGGCCATTTTAGTAAGCAAGCGTGGACTGTTACCCACGCAGGGCATAACGGGGCAGACTTAACTTACCAGATCTGCAATCTAATTTTCTTCCCTCTTAGCTCTACAGTCTTGATTTTAAAGTCAACACCTGGGGAGGAAACAGGTGAACATGAAGCAAAGATAATCCAGGCCAATCACCACGAGATCCCTGCTGGAAGTATGACTTGGGAAACCAAAAGCATCAGCACGGCAAAAACTCAAAAGTGTGAGGGACCAGTGTGCAGAGAGTGCTCTGGGGCACTCCCCCGCCCCACACTCCCCCTGGTTTATCCCAGCATCTGCTGTTAGCATGATTTATGACTCCAGCTGCAGTTTAGAAACCTTGGCAATGTTAAGGATGCCAATTCAGAGATGATTCTTAGATGGAAAATTTGAAATTCAACCCTGATTTCAAGCAGCCTTTGTTTGAATTTGGAAGTTATTAACATATTAAAACTTTTAGTTCTTACAAGTGTTGGTAAATACGCGCATGACTCATCATACTACTTATGGGGTAACAAACTGTTAGAGACAGGCTGGGCAACCAAGGCCTCAGCACAACAAACAAACAAACAAAACCTACCCGTCTATAGATTAGCATATTCAATTTTAATATTTATTCATCTTAATATTGCAAGCAAACCACCTTGCGCAATATTTTTTCTTCCTAAAACCAGACCAGTAAGCTTCAAATAAATTTTAAAAATCCAAATTTCATCCGCGTAAGTCATCTGATATCTTTTATAGTTATAGACAAAAACATCTTAAGCCAAGACTTTCAAATTCAGTATTTACTAGCAGAGCATCGAGGAGGTGTGGGCTGACGGTGAGCACCAGACACACTTCTCTTCTGGATCTACTTCCCAGCTGCCTGCTGGGACCCCAGACAGATGGTCCCAGGCAGCAGGGTTGTGCAGGTGACCACAGCCCGCACAGTGGCTCGGCCTGCCCTCTGCTCATCCATTTTGGGACCTGAGGCGGCAGTGGTCAGATGAGGATCTGAGGTGGACAGAATGACATGTGACTGTTTAAAATTAGCAACACACTAGACATGTTTGTAAGACTGAGCTGATGGGCGGCCCCTAGGTGGACAACAGAGAAGTTTGTGACTCTAAAACATCACAGTGGAGACAGGTCCCTATATTTCAATTCTTGTTTTTATTTTTTTAATGTTTGTTCATTTGAACCAGGGTCTCTCTACATAGCTCTGGCTGTCCTGGAACTTCCTCTATAGCCCAGGCTGTCCTGGAACTCACAGAGATCCGCCTGCCTCTGCCTCCAGCACTGGGATTGCCTGGCATATTTCGATTCTGAATCCTGCACACCAGACTGACAAGGCTAACACAACCTTTCCCTCTCCAGCGGACTGCTTCCCAAAGTCCAATGGCCTTGAGCAAGGCTCCCAAATGACTCACCCCAAGGTGACAGCACCCTAAAGTGACACCTCTGAGGCACAATCACACTGGTGGCTCTGACTGTGACGAGGCACAGGTTGGTGACAAACCACTGTCTTTGCAGTGTTAACCTAAATGTAGGACTTGTTTGACACATGAATCTGCGATGTGAATCACAGATCAAACTCATCTTGCCATGACTACTATTTTACTCCTCATTTCAAGAGGTTAACATTTATGAGTATTGGTTTATTTATCGTTGTAAGTGAGAGCGGAGTCAGAGGGCAATTTGCAGGAACTGGTTTTCTGTGCTGTGTGGATACTGGAGGGGGAAGGGGGGGTGGGTCCTCAGGCTCCAAGGGTGGTGGTGGGGCCTCTGCACACAGCCACCCTGTTAGCCCTCCCTCGATTTCACCCCCCCCCCACTTCAAATGCATCTGTTTTCAGAATCTGAGTTAAGGGGGCTGTAATTTGAGTAAATTTGTTATTTTACTGAAAAAAACTGACCAGTGGCAATCTCTCCTTAGTTTTGCTTCTGGTCACCTAACAGACCCTTCCAAAAACCGGGGCAGGCCACCTGTGCTCAGGGGCTGCAGTCTCCTCTGCTAAGCCACGCTGTGCCCGCACATGCCACTTGCTTGCTATTCTTTCTCAACAAGTTTGCAAACCTACCTGTGTTAGCAGTCTTCTATGAGGACTATTTTTCCAACCACAAAGCTTAATGAATGACAATAAAAGGACCAGGGACTGAGACGATGAGGACATAAGGTCAGTGATTTATTTAAAAGGTTATGAAACTGGACAAAGAATCTGCTCATCCCGTGAGGAGAAGCCAGTACCAATGAGCACAGCAACTTCAACAGCTTCAGTAACCGGAGCAGAACAATTCTACAGCTGTGAAGTGGCTGGAGGGCTGGCCCTGCTCCTGCAGAGGACATGGGTTCGATTCCAGCACACACATGGCAGCCTGTAACCCCAGTTCCTCTTTCTGCAGCAGGTACTGTGTGTACATACATGTCTATGGGCAAAAACACTCATATGCCTAAAATAAACAAATCTTAAAAAAAATCAAGTCTATAAATGATGGCTCATAAAACTTGTCCCCTCTCTTAAATAAAATAGCCTATATTGTATCTAACAGCTCCAGGAGCTTGTAAACACTGGAAACTTAATTCAATTTATGACTTGGACGCATATCTTTGTATTAATATATCACTGAGCATGTCTAAAAATGTCGCCTAACAAGTATAAAATAACTCCATGCTGCCAGGTGTGGTTGCTCATGCCTTTCATCCCAGCACTTGGGAGGCAGAGGCAGGTGGATCTCTGTGAGTTCAAGGCCAGCCTGGTCTACAGAGAGAGTCCCAGGACAGGCACCAAAGCTACACAGAAAGACCCTGTCTGGAAAAGCAAAACAAAACAAACAAAAAATGACTCCATCTGCAGCATCTGCCTCCCACAGAAATGGCAATGGTCCCTAATAATGACAGCAAGCCATCAACAGTCTCAACTATTTGAACCACAGCCAGCACAGACAGGAGTGAGAGCTACACAGGGATGAAGGGGGTGTCACCTTCACGTCTGTCTGCAGGTCTGCTGAAAACCCAGCTTCTTAGAGGCGTCCTGACGAACAGGCAAGCGAGCAGCCAGCCTTCCGTACCCTGCGGGTTAATGGGGACAGTCCCTGCCCCCAAAGCTGGGTCACACGGACCCACATTAGCACATCACACACTTGGCAACACACTACCTTCCTCTGCCATGAGCTCTTGGAGAACCTTCTTGTCTGCCCAGAAACCTTTTAAATCCTACATTTCCCACGGAACCTTCCCTGACCCCATCTACCCTGCTCCCACCCCAGGTCCTGGTCCTGCACTCTTTCTTTGCTGGCCTCACCCATGGGCTGTGCATCCTCCTAAGACCTAGCATCCTTGGCTTACTGCCCAGCACACAGCAGCAACTCGATTGACTCTGACCGTGACTGACAGTGGGCCTCTCTTCTCTATTAAATGCTGTAGAGTAATAGAGTAATTTAGGAAAAATTATGAATATTCAGGACTCATCATCAGTAGTTTTTCTTTTTTTTTAAAGACAAGAGGCAGAGAAGGCAGCTGTGGAACGGGAGTGACGGATATAAATGTGTGTGCACACGCGTATAGACACATTTTACTTGGTCCACAATTCTGCAAAGGACAGGCTGTAAACATCTCAGAGATCACTATGGTAACAGATTACTTATTCCATCGCTTCCATGGAGTAGTAATCCCTAAGTAGATTATTCTGGTTAGGCTGCCTACTACCAATGGGTGTGGTCTCTGAGCTACTGTGGCTCATGCTCAACCTTCACTTGTTTTAGTAGCAACGACAGTTGTATCTGTCAGATATTTGGAGTCTGGCATCCAAAGCATCTGGTGCTCATGGCAGCCCAGTCAGGTGGGGCACTGCCATGTCATCTTGTAGGGGGACATCCGATTAGAAACAGCAGGGGTAACTGCTAGACCACGCGATGAACTGTGCTGACACAACAGCACAGTCACTATTCAAAAGTTCACACTTGTGTGAACGACTAAAGGCTGCTACAGAAGACATCAGGAGGGTGAGGAAGGGTATGTGAAATGTTCTGCAAATATTAACGTCATAACCATGCCACTAAGAGGCATCCCGGCTCTGCTTCCTTCTTGGTCCCTCTGTGACAGCTGAAGGAATTGCTGCCTAGGAAGTCCAGAAGGGAAAACATTTCCAAAACATTGTTTCTTTTTGCTGGGCCCTAAGAAGTTACAAAGCCGAGAACATTGACTCCTCTTTCTTCCTGTTCCTTTCCAGTCTAAAGAAAAGAAACAACCTCATGGTCCAAGTCTTGGATTACAGGCAGCGCCATGCTCCCCGCCCACTCACAGGATCACCTTGCTTCTCTGCCAACTCAAGACCTGCAGCTAGCCCCAGAAGGCACTGACTTTACTGAACAACACAGCTATGGCACCCCAGGCTCTCACATAGGTCTCCATATAAAATGGTTGTGACACTACAGTTCCGTCAGTTACAGCCTTCAGTTTGGAGCACATACCAGCACAGACCTTAGACAATGTCAGCCACTTTGGGACATTATATCCCTGCCTTGACAGTGACAGACTACAATAAGAGATGTGTCAAAGTCACAGGGGCAAGTCTAACCACCGCCCCCCAAAGTATCTTATGGGTAAAACCTCATGGATTTATCAGGCTTTTCCTCCCTAAGCTGTGAGGATCCAGTAAAACTAGAAACAATATTCTAATTATGAAATCTTGTGATCATTTCAGAGAAAGACACTGTTATAGAGCCAAACTGAAGGTGAGAGAGGGCTGGACAGGTGGTGCAGTGGTTTAAGACTACTGGCTGCTCTTAAGGAGGATCCAGGTTTGGTTCCCAGAATCCACATGGTAGGGTCATATGCAACTCCATTTCAAGGGCACCCGACACCCTTTTCTAACCTCTGAGGGCACTGTGCATGTGTGGTGTAGAGACATGCATGCTGGTAGAACAGCCATACACATGAAATAAAAACCCATCTGTAAAGAAGAGGCGCTTATAAACCCTCCATGCACCATTACAGAAGCTCACCAGGCTATGGACAGACAGCCCCGGTTCACAGTGGCTCTGGCTTCTCTTTCGTTCTGGTCTTGACAAGTGCAGACCACTCTGTGACTGCCTGGCACCCAGAAGCATAAGACACAGCCACATACCTGACTCGAACACACAGGCACAGCAACATAGCCTAATGCAGGGAGAGGCTGGGAGGGCTGTGTGCCTAAACCCAGAGACGGCTCTACTCTCAGGGAAGCAGAGCCTCAGAAAACGATGCTCGTCCTTCAGAAGTCAAAAGACCAGGAACTAACTGTTCTGGTGCTTGCTGTATTCCGGGCGTTGCTCTACGAGCATGCGCGTTGCCCCGTCGAAATGTATCTCTTTAGCAGACTTTATTGTGCACAAGTAGATGGAAAACTGAAGCCAGTGAGCCTCTTCTACTCCCTGGCCTTCACACATCACTGCCAGCTCTTAGTCCAAAAAAGGAGGGAATATTTACACTGGGGAACAGCTGGGGAAAAGCCAGAAGCTCAACTAGCCTCGCTGTGGCTCAGTGCAGGGACTGTGAGGTGGTCGTACTTTACCAGGCTTATGGCTCACACTTGTCATTTCTTACTCTACTGTACACCCTATGTACATCTTTACAGGGTGTGGATTTTCTGGCAGTTTCTATATTTACGGCACTGATATGTGAAACAGAACAATGGGTTACTTTTCTGGGCCAGGTGCCTAGGACACAGAATCCCCACTTATTCTACACTGTGAACTAGGGAGAAAGTAGAAGGTGCCTCCAACCTTCTTTCAATGAATGGGGAGCCTGAGGGGAGTGGTCTGCCTAAAGACACACTGGTGACTTACAACCGAGGTCCAGCTTGCTACCTGCCAAACTCGCCAATCTGGGCAGCACGGGGAAAGGCCATGGTGGCTGAAGAACAAGAGCTTTTCTTTTTGAGTAAAAATTAAAAGACTGTTGGCTTGAAATTTCATTCTAGTTTATCAACAGGAGAGCACTAACTAAAATTCATCACACACACACAACACACACACACACACACACACACACACACACACACACACACACACACACGAGGAAGAGAAAGAAAATGGGAGAAAAGAGCCAAGCTCTTTATTGACTGGGAACAGTGACGTCACAGGGTTCTGGCTGGCCAAGTTCAGAGGCGTCTACATTAAGAAGGGCGGGAACAGGAAGGCTCCTCATCCGCCTGCCAGAGGTTCGCTGGAGCTTGTTTCACTTGGTAAGCTAAGAAGGTAGGAACACAAGTGCTGGAGTCAGCAGCCCGTCACACTGAGGAGGAGGGAGGGGAGACCTCTGTGGCACACACATGGTACCCTGTTGGGTCTGTATTGTTGTTTCCTAGCTTTACAGGATTAAATAACAAATAACCACACTCAATTAGGGTACTGGGTTTGGTATGTATTTTTGTTTTCCAACATCAAAGCTGTGCAACAGAAACAAAGGTAAATAACAGTTTCTTCCCTCTGATGGAACACAGTGGCTCTCATCTCTTCTCTTACATTGGATGGCCACTCTAAAGGGATGAGCCGGGTATACAGGTGTCAGCTTCGTGCCCTATTTAAGTGGCTCCTAGAATGGTCTGATATAGATACATAGAACCTCTCAAAAGTATCTGCGGAGTGACTACTGTACACAGTACCATGTTTCCTTCCCAGTTAAGACCAAAGTGAGGCTGGAACAATGTATCTGATACCTCGCGGCAGAGCAACTCTGACCTATCCTACTCAAAGGCGCCTCCACTCTTCTCCAGCCAGTGCAGGGCCTCAACATACAGCTCCTGGCAGAGTCCACGGGCTGTGGCAAAAAAGAGGCTGTCTCTTCTCTACCGCACAATGAAACTTTCCCTCTTCAGTGTAAGAAGCAGACAAAGGGGAAGGTTGCAGGGCCAGGCTTATCAGGCTTTTAATTTCCCTATATAGTTGACTCCAAAGAAATCTACAGCCTCTCTCTGAAGAGAGCCACCAGGTGTCACAAGGTGGACACCGCACCTGCCTGGAGGCTTACACTAACTCCCTAAATAAACCCAATCACAGTGCACTGCTCCCTGGGCCTGTGAGCCAAACATCAGTTCTGATCCCGCTTGCTTCTCCCTGAGCTGTCTTTTCCCTATCACTCTGGCGGTGGGCGGGGTAACTGGGGAGGCTGTGCTTCTGGAATTCTTTCTTATTTTATGTGTATGGGTGTTTTGCTGCACGTATATCTGTGGACAACATGGGTGCCTGGTGCCCTCTGAGGTAAGAAAGGGCATCAGATCCTCTGGAACTGGAGATGCAGATGGTTGTGAGCTGCCTGAACCCAGGTCCTCTGGAAGAGCAGCCAGAGAACTGCTGAGCCAGCTCTCTAGGACAACCCCCCCCCCCACCAATTCTCTCTTAAGTAAAACACTCAGCATCTGTGCCATGGTTTGGAAGACTGCATTTAAGTGCAGAAGTGCAATCAAAATAAAATCAGAGTTTTAACCCAGAAGAACAAGTATGTCTCGACTATTCTCACCCAACCATCAGCCCTAAAAGTTCCAGACCAAAGAGCCAAGTGGCCACTTTCCTTCATACCCATTCTGAAACTTACAGGTAAAGACAGCTATGGCTAAACTTACAGGCAAGCCCGGTGGCCATTTCTGCAGTCTCACTCACTCACCTGCTTTATGAACCCTCAATTCTGTTGTCAGTTCAAGGACTCCAGCAGGTGTGGTCTAGGCTGAAGCCTGTCCAGGTCACTTAGGCGTACCCCATCTCTGCATAAACTAGAGAGGACATCCAGGAAGCTAAACAAGCACCGCAGCCAATAGGTTAGCATCACCTCTCTAATCTCTTAGCTGTCTTCTGAAACCCGGACTTTTCAAAGGCAGGGCTGGGAAGTTGTAAGTATTTCTGCAGAGGACACAGGTCCTCAGAGGGAAATTTAAATCTGCTATCTGATTTCTCCTAATTTTTTTCCATCTTCATTTTAACTCTCTCTCTCTCTCTCTCTCTGGAACTGATGATGGTGGGCTCTCTGTACTGGGATGAGGAGAAACTAAAAACACGGGCCACAGAAGGACCCCAAGAGTTTCTGCTCAAACAATAGCTAAAAGGCTACACTACACCCAGAGTCATATTTACACAGCATTTTCTAAAGGAACTTAAGGAATGAACTTAGTGCCACACAGTTCAAGGGGAAGGAATTCTTTAAGAAGCTCTCAGGCCCAGCTAGTTAAGTACCCTTCCCTGTCACCTAGCTCGCTGTGAACTTGGACCACTTGATAACACTGAGCCCACACCCTGCTTCCTACTTTACCCCAAGGCAGCATGACGCCCAACACACAGCAGGTGCTCAACAAACCTGCTCACTACCAGGGCAACACACTCAGTGGCAGGAGCTGAAGAGGGGCCTGTTAGCATTTAGGGTCTTCAGGCTTTGATTAAGTCTCGGTTATCATCTTTCTCTCAACTCCCCGAAGCAAATAAATAAATAAATAAATAAATAAATAAATAAAATAAAAAATAAATTTGAAATTAACTACTATAGGCTACATAGGGAGTAAACAGAAACATTAAAGAAAAAAAAAAATCTAACCACCCCCCAGTGTCGGGAGACACACTTACACATACACATATAATTATGTGTGTAAGGGGGCTGGTTTCCTCCATCATTCTCAGATAGTCTATGTAACCTATGCTGTCCCATTGGCTGGTTTCATTCTGCCAGCTCAAAGGGCAGGTCCACCCTTCTCAGAACCACACACCAGCCAAGGTCTCCAAGCACCCACTTCTATGTCCCCCATGAAATATTTCTGGAGTTTGGTTGTCCTGTTCTGCAGGGCTCTACCCATCACCTCCTCACTTACCTCATGCTTTCATAGTGTTAGTTATCTGCACTGGTTTTTCCTTCAGAATTGAACACAGTCATACCTTTTGTTTTTATGGATGTAAGCCTGGGGCCATAAAAGACTGATAATTCTCAAATGCATTCAAACCCTACTGCAGTTATGCCAGATACTAACAAAATAACACAAGCCTCATTTCCTGGTTAATAGCTCTCTCTATAGCTCTCACAATCCAAGATTGGATATTTGCAACAGGTATAATTACGCTGCTGGATTTTAACTTCACATTCTCAAGACAAACATTTTTTTTTTAAAAAAGGGTAGAAGGAGCATAAATATCCTCCCTCCCCCCCCAAAAAAAAAGGAAGGAGGAAAAAAACCATTAAGGGAAATACTCAAAAAGGAAATTAAAAAAAAAAAGTCAATGTGAAAACTGGAGGTTTAATTTTCCAGTAAGTTATTAAAACCGCTGTAGTTCCGTTACCTGACAACTCACCAATGTGATCTCATGATCTTTCTAAGGAGAGTCCCTAAAATTTTCTACAGAATTCTCATCTGAAAATGGGAGCCATCGGTGGGTACAAATGTAAATCTGTGTATACTTTTTTTTAGGGTTTCAAATCGCCAAGCTGAGATTTTGCTTGTTTGAGACAGGGATCTCGCCTCATAGCCCTGGCTGTCCTGGAACTTACTGTGCAGACCAGGCTGGCCTCAAACTGACATTACAGAGATCAGCCGGTCTCTTGACTCCCTGTCCAGTCTCTCCTGCCTGTTTATTCTACTGAGTCACCCCCAATCCGGGTAGCCTATTTTATAGGGTCACCCCAAATCAGAGTTCTCCGGGCAGCCTTTCCTGTCGGCTCAACGTCATTAAAAACATCCCGTGGAAGGCAAACAGGAGCCTTACCTACAGTAGCAAGCGGCTCTCACTTTGCCTGTCACCCGGTTATTTGAGGTCAAGGATAAACACAGCCGAAATCCCTCCGCCCTACACATTTGTACACAAAACAAGAAGCCGGGGGGCGGCTTTTAGTGCAAACGGCCTCTGCAGTGAATTTTCAACCTCTTTCCATTAAACCGTGGAAATGAGAAAGCGAACCCTGGCTCATTCCTCCAGCCCGGGGAGCTAGGAGGTCCGACCCGGCTTTGGATGGTGACCTCGGGGCGCTGCACGGGTGGCCGTCCCTCGCCTTTACTTTTCCATCTCACAAAGCCGTTTCCCTGGGCGAGCCGGAGTAACGGACCGGGAGTTTCCACGGATGCATCACCCCGACCTCATGACCCGAGAGAGAAGGCTCCGGGATCGAATGACCGACCCGGCTCTGGGGGTGGCACACCCGCGGAGCGGCCACGGGGAACTCAGCCTGGCCCCGGGGGAGGCTCAGAGCTCGCACGGTACCCGGCCCGACCTCCCCGCAGGCTCGCCCAGCCCCGGGCCCGGCGTACCCACGGTGGACTTGCAGGCCTCGCAGAACGTGTCGTCGGTG